TTTTAAACACTTTGCCGAAAACCGATTTTTAGTTTACGTGCAAAATTAAGGATTTATTTCAAATCGCTTCATTTCCTCGGTAAATAATGTAATCTTCAGGCATTCAGCTTTACAATTACGCAGGCCTGTTTTAATTTTGCGACGTTGATTTTAACACCCAATGGGTGATACTGTAGTTATTTCATGCTTGCCCGGTTTTCCAGTAATTAAACTCTCTTCTTTCACTTAATTTTCGCTGCAGTAGTTTGAAAAATGGTCCTTCCCTACGGCGGTAAAAGAGGAAAATTGCTGCGTGTTCTCTGGTGGCGGTGCTCATTACTAAAGCGAAAATTGCGTTCAACGCAGGATGACATAATATTCTCCATATATCATAATTCTTTTATCTTAGAAATGTTCTTTAATGCATCAAAAAGGTCGGGCGGTACATTTTGTAAAAAAAAATAAAAATCGTGATGTACAGCGTGTATGGTAAATGAGAAAAACAAACACAAAAAGAAGTCACTGGCGCATAAATTTACGAAAACAACGCAAACTATGCAGTTTATCTATATTTCCTCGCTATAGGAAAGGCAGGCTTTCTTAGGCCATGCGGGCCAAACCAGTCTTACGCTGAAAGAAATTGAAAAAGAAAACTTTTAAAAAGGTGTCGCCCGAAAGGTTACAAAGGACAAGGGGACCGTGCGACCTCGAGAGGACACTTTTAATTTTACGATGAAGCGCGCTAAACAACTGTGAATAATTCAATTTCACCGCCGCATCTCATTTCAGTCAAGTTCAAGTAATGTTTTCCGAGCCAAACGTGAAATCACCTGGCGAGTACGAACAAACAATGCTCCAGTTGTAAGTGGTGACGTTTGCATACGAAACTACAAGTACAATTAATCCATTTATTTGCTATGAATAGGCGAGGTGGATGAACGATAAAAGCATTTAAATTGTGCCAAGAAGTCCGGCGCGTTTACAGCAAACGAGTGTTAGTTGTAAAAAAACCAGTGTTTCCCGGGCAAGCTGCTACCAGGTAAGGATCTAAACCTGTTTTGTTAGTTAATGGAGTTTGCTCGACAAATGTAGCGCAAAGATTATATCGGTCATGTTAGTGAAATCGATCAGCTTCACCTTGTAGATGTTTTGAATGAATTTCAAATGGCTAGTATTCATTTCCAGTTAGACCTCATAATGAAGCCTTTAAAGGAAGGAGTCGACAGTAGTTTCGATTATTAATGGTCAATAATGAACGGCTTGTAAGTCAGTTTTTTGGGCATTTTTAGAAGGTTATTTTTGCCGTTGCCTGGGATTAAGCTGTGGCCTAAAAAACACGACTTCCCGGCAGCGGAGACCCGTAGCTATTCCCGCGTACTATAGCACTGACTAACTTGTAAGATATCTCCTGATATTCCTCTTTTGAATGAAAAATAAGCAGCATATTTATAGACCTTCATTGCGGTTTACTTAGACTGAACTTAGTAGGTTAGTGTAAATCTGTTTCTACTGACCAAAGCCGGGCTTTACACCCCCACTGCCTGGGGGATGTTTTGGTAGGTTAAAGCAATAGTCGCATAATACATTATATTTAGGCTAAGTTAAAATGTTTGTATAGTTTATTTTCTGGCCATGTTATTCCCAGGTGTTAAAATGCCACAGTGCTTCTGTCGCGGTAAAATTGAGCTGAATTTAGTGAAGGTCTCACCACACAGGCAATGCGATTTTCATTCTCGCAGTTTGCATTCGACTCTGAGGAGAGGCTTAATTGAATTTCAATTCCAAATAGCATGCTCGAGCAAGCCACTGAAATTTGACGCTTTTTGTGATACACATCATGTTAAATTCCAGTATAGACATACATTTCATGTAAGAAGTATTCTTATCTAAAATATTTAAAGGACGTTAATTTCCCTCCATGAAGTTTCCTTTTATTTACAAAGCAATTTCTTGTTTACTGCCTGTCATTACCAAACTAATTGCAAGCTCTCAGTCAAGCGAAGTATGTAGTAAGTGATTTTATTTGCCCTCCGGGTGATTTTTGTTCTGCTAAAAACCGAATAAAACGTTTTTCGCCATTGTCAGTTTCGTTGCCAAACTAACCTCCCGCGATTTGAAAAAGCGCTTTGTCACTTTATTACTTGCTCTCTTGAAAATCTGCCATGGAATAAAATATGCGTAAGTGATTTTTGCGGCAGGTGAATCAACACAAAAGATGGTATTA